GGAGGTCTGGGCGCGGCAAGGGCGGGAAGGGGCTCGGCAAGGGGGGCGCCAAGCGGCACCGCAAGGTGCTGCGCGACAACATCCAGGGCATCACCAAGCCGGCCATCCGCCGCCTGGCTCGGCGCGGCGGCGTGAAGCGCATCTCGGGGCTCATCTACGAGGAGACGCGCGGCGTGCTGAAGGTCTTCCTGGAGAACGTGATCCGCGACGCCGTCACGTACACCGAGCACGCCAAGAGGAAGACGGTCACGGCCATGGACGTGGTCTACGCCCTCAAGCGCCAGGGACGCACCCTCTACGGCTTCGGCGGTTAAACCCGAATCGCAAAACCTTACACCGTCAAAAACACAAAGGCTCTTTTCAGAGCCACCCACAAATTTCACAACGAGAGCTGCTTGTTACTGCTTTGAGATTTAAAGATTTTTAATGCACCTGTAATACTAAAACACTCTATTATTTAAGTTTTAGAATTTGAAAGCTGCCCATAAAGTATAAACCCTCTCCATAATACTCTCTACAATCATAACTACTGGAAAATACCCAGTGTGTTAAGATCAGAAGTTTTAAATAATTTCCAGAATGAGTGTAAGCTCAGTGCAACTTTAAGTATGTATTTGGATCAATTTTGTCGCTAGTGAGGGCTTTACTGATTTCCCCCTAACTGCAAAGGACAAACATTGTGTGGTTGCAGCGCCAAAACCGGCAGTTACAGGGCAGCAGTGCCTGTAGTTACGTTGCTGTTTTTCAGTCCAATAGGAATGGAAAGATTACAATCCTCTAATTTGCATAAGGCCTTTATAAATACGGGGGCAGGCGCCATTTTCGATGTTGTCGAGCTACAGTGGAGATCTGGCAAAGAAACTTTCGAAGATGCCTGAGCCGGCAAAATCTGCTCCAGCACCTAAGAAGGGCTCCAAGAAGGCGGTGACCAAGACGCAGAAGAAGGGCGACAAGAAGCGCAAAAGAGCAAGGAAGGAGAGCTACTCGATCTACGTGTACAAGGTGCTGAAGCAGGTGCACCCAGACACGGGCATCTCGTCCAAGGCAATGAGCATCATGAACTCGTTCGTCAACGACATCTTTGAGCGCATCGCCGGCGAGGCCTCGCGCCTGGCGCACTACAACAAGCGCTCGACCATCACCTCGCGGGAGATCCAGACGGCCGTGCGGCTGCTGCTGCCCGGCGAGCTGGCCAAGCACGCCGTCTCCGAGGGCACCAAGGCCGTCACCAAGTACACCAGCTCCAAGTAAAGCGGTTTTTAACTATAATCCAAACGGCTCTTTTAAGAGCCCCCACGCTTTCCTAAAAAGAGCTGTAATTACAGGTTAAACAATTCTTGTTTTTTCCCAGATATACCTATTATGTTTTTGCATAACAAAAACTAAATTGCCTAAAGCATGAAACATTGCATTAACTGTTTAGTATGTCTCTGTAGTAACAAGCAGCTCTCGTTGTGAAATTTGTGGGTGGCTCTGAAAAGAGCCTTTGTGTTTTTGACGGTGTAAGGTTTTGCGATTCGGGTTTAACCGCCGAAGCCGTAGAGGGTGCGTCCCTGGCGCTTGAGGGCGTAGACCACGTCCATGGCCGTGACCGTCTTCCTCTTGGCGTGCTCGGTGTACGTGACGGCGTCGCGGATCACGTTCTCCAGGAAGACCTTCAGCACGCCGCGCGTCTCCTCGTAGATGAGCCCCGAGATGCGCTTCACGCCGCCGCGCCGAGCCAGGCGGCGGATGGCCGGCTTGGTGATGCCCTGGATGTTGTCGCGCAGCACCTTGCGGTGCCGCTTGGCGCCCCCCTTGCCGAGCCCCTTCCCGCCCTTGCCGCGCCCAGACCTCC